TGCAACGACTGCGTCCACACGGCTTGGTCCCAAAGTGGGAGGGGGGAGCATTGATACGACTGCGTACAAGCAGGTCTCTCAGATTTTTATCCCGTCTGAAAACAATGAGAGGTGGGGAAGAGAAAATTTCTCGTGTGTCGGTGTCTGCGAGTAGTATAGATCGATGTTTAAGGAAAACACGTTTAGCAATCAGATTGTGAGGGTGATAAGTTAAAATGAGTTTTGTCCTGTCAACATTGTCGCTCAGACGTGGTCTGAAGGCATCAGCACGTGTAATATTCTTAACCCTTTGGAGGGCTGATGAAAGTACTGTCTCCGGGTAAGATCTACACCGGAAAAAGTCTATCATTTCAAGTGCCTTGTCCCAAAAGTCCTCATCTGACCGACAAAGTCGACGAAGACGAAGTAATTATTACCCCTTAAGAACTGTAACAACGTTAATTTATAGTTATTGTTACATTAAATTTACTATATTTCAAATTTTCCTTTCCTGGTCTTCAAAGCTGCAAATCAGTCAATCACTTGCTGATCAATATCCTTCACAGTGTAAATTTCAATTAATACTATAGCAAAATTAGAAAGCCTTGACTGTACCATGAAGGATCGTAGATAGTTCTTGATAAGTTCAGATAAGTCTTAGTTTTGAAAATCTAATTTCATAGACACACAGATCGTAAGAACCACCAATTGAAGGCATAGCGAGAATATTGGAAGAGATTCTGGGAAGTCCCATTCAGCTATGAATTTCAAAACATCAAATACTGACCAGTAAATGACTTTGTGAAATTCAATGTCATCTGCCTTTAGGTGTCATCTAAGCCTTTGTATTTCTTTTAAAAGTTCGTTTTCTGATAGATTATAGATCATCATAGAGAGAGGTTAATTTTAGAACGGCCACCAATAATTCCTCTCACTGATAGTAGACTCTTGAGTTGAAGAGCCCCAAACAAATCTTCTACTTCATTGATCGCTGATGATTTGATCTGAAATTCAGAATTATAGCGATCAATACACTCCAGTATATCCTTACTGTGTTCTTCTCGCAGAGAGACCAGCATCTATTAATTATTTTCCTATCATTCTCTTCTTAAACCTTAGGAGTCGTCCATTACATACGTCAACAATTTTTAAGCAATTTTTGACCCCCTCCCCTCCACTATTGTCAACAACTGTCAAACTTTCAATGACCCCCTTATTTAATCATGTCAAAATTTCTACCCACCCCCCCCCCCCCAAAAAAAAAAAAAAAAAAAAAAATTATAGTAAAAATAAATTTATAAATACATTTTACTTTGTTCTGATCTATTTTAATGACACAAAATTGTAGGAAAAATACTTCATTACATCTTTAGCTTGTTAATCAACAAATTAAAAATTTTCACACTTAAATTTTATAATGCGGAATCAATTGAAAGGTTGTTAAAGACTAAATATAATTGTTTGTAGTATAACTATGATTATTTTCAGTATAGCATAGTTTCTAGCTGCTATCATCTTCCCAAGGAGTAGCCAGGTTTCCTCTATGCACATCATGGACATCATTTGGGTAGGGCGGGAGACATTTGCCCCCACCCCCTAATTTGCAGGTTTCATTTAAATTGTTATGTACTGTGGCGCCTCCAGTAATAAGCAACTTAACAAGCCGACCAAGTTTTGGTTTTGCCCCCGCCCCCTGAAAAAAAAAAATGAAATGACACCACTAGTAGGTGATATTTTTCATCTTGCGGCACTGATACTCATTCAGCACTTAAAATAGAAGCAATATTCGGTGTGAATTGCCATTGGTTCTGTTTGAATCCTTTTTTTTTTTTTTTTTTATTTTTTTTTTTTTTTTTTTTTGAATGTCTTATGCTCAACATGCTTTTTGAACATAACTTAAATGTTTTTTTTTTTCATATTTAAGGGCCCACAATGAATTTATTGATCATTTTGGCTCCTGGTTTGAATTCAGAGATAGCCTTCTGTTTAATGGAGTGAGTCAGTTTAGACCACTCTGCCACTCAGCACCCTTGTGATGCAGAATAGATGTTACAGATTTTGCAAATCCGTTCAAGCAGCGATTTTTTTATTGTTACTCACTTTACATTCATCAAACTCTCAAAATATCTTATTCCTACTCAATCAATATCATTTATCTTGATTGAACATGAAACTTGAACCTTGTCCTTGTTCCATACATGCAACAGAATATACATGTGAAGAGAGGTCAACTTTTGACTTCTCTTGCACTAACAATGAGTAACAAAGTGTGCTAACATTGTAACATTCTGACCAGCCACCTGCAGTGCACAGACAGACACACATTAAATAAATCTTATAATGTAAAAAAACTAAAAATTATATGACTATTTACACTTATAAATTTTTTAAAATCCGGTTATGTAATAACCAGTCAATTTTTAAGATTAACAATTTAATAGAGAAAACACGCTTGTTGACGTCAACGAATCTAAACCCCACTCCCTCCCCCTTGTCAACAACTGTCAAACATTTCCATCCACCCCCCCTATTTTGTTGACGTAATTAATGGACCCCCCCCCACTTAATCTTATGTGCACTTTTTCAATTTGGTGTCACCCCCGAGATTGATATATAAAGAGAGAGAGAGAGAGAGAGAGAGAGAGAGAGAGAGAGAGAGAGAGAGAGAGATATCCTTAGATTTGGT